GCCCCGTCCCGTCCCGCCCCGCCCCGTACAGTGAGCGCGTGCGCTCGACGCCCCCCCCCCCCCCGCCAGGACTTTGTGATCGGCATCACCATCTGGACGTGCCTCGACCCGACCAACTTCCTCGCGCCGCCCGCCGCCATCCCGTGGATCATCGCGCTCGCCTACGGCGTCTGCATCTGGGGCTACGCGCCCGTCGGCCGTGCGTCCCGTCCCGTCCCCTCCCCTCGCTCTTCCATTCCCGCTCACCCGAACTGACCCTGGTTGACCAGTCGCGGCGAACACCGCGCGCGACATGGGCGGCCGCCTGCTCGTGCTCACGATCTGGGGCACCAAAGCCGCGGGCGGGCGCTACGCGGCCATCGCCGCGCTCACCAACATCCCCAGCACGCTCTTCGCCGCCGCCGTCTACGAGCTCTTCCTCGCCGACTCGAACCGCAGTGCGTCCCCTCTCCCCTCTCCCCGCATACCCCTTCCGATTGCTGACGCTGCGTGCAGTCGTGCCGGACGCGCACAGGGAGTTTGTCGAGTGCCACATGGCGCACCACGCCGAGGAGGACGACGACGACGACGAGCTCGTGCGCCGGCGGCGCTCCGCGTCGTCCTCGTCCGGCGTGGACGTAAAGGAGGTCACGGAGCTCAACCCATGAACCCATGATGACGATTCTCAGATGCTGCCACGAGATCTTGCCCCGCTACATCGCTACCCTTTTTCCAGCCTGTTCTGCTGTCCTGTTGTATTATACTAGTAAAACATATATTTGGCCGGAGCTGATAGTGTACACGAACGCACGGATGGTGTGTAGCTCCCGGAATGCGTTCCCTTTTTTCGAAGCGTATGAACAACGTAAGTAATGGTCTGTCCGTCCGTCATGAAGGGCTCATAGCTTGGACTTGGCTCCGTGGTCGACTTTGACGACCCTGCACCATGGCAAGGCATATTAGACCAGCTATTTCGCAAGATCAACACCGGAAGACACGCACAATTTCCCGGTGTTGCCGCCGGTGAACAACATGGTCAGCGCCGAGGGCGCGTTCTCCAGGCCCTCGACGATATGGAACTTGCGCTTCAGGCTGCCATCTGCGAGCCACCCCGCGATCTCCTTCATCGCCTTTGGGAACTGGTCGGCATAGTCGAACCTGTGTATAGTTGATGTGAGAGGGGAGCGCGAGAGGAAGCGGGGGACGCGTACACGATGAACCCCTGCAGCTTGGCGCGCTGCCCGATGAGGGCTAGGTAGGATGTGAGGCCTTTGGGTTTCCTGTCTGCAAGATGGTTAGATGGAGACGTTCGCGACATGGATGACGCTTACTATAATCCGAAATGGCGCCTTCATACGCGATCAGCACTCCCAACCAACCCAAACACCCAGAGAGACCACACACCACACAACGCGATCCTCGCCCCCTTGTTCAACCTCGTCAACAAAAAGTCCAACATCTCCCCGCCCACATTATCGAAATACACGTCCACCCACCCCACCTTCTTCATCTCCTCCTTCCACTGCGGGTCTTTATAATTCAACGCGCGGTCCACGCCGACCTCGCGCTCGAGCCACGCGCATTTCTCGGGCGAGCCGGCGATGGCGACCACCTTTGCGCCGCGCTTCTTGCCCATCTGGCAGACGAGCGAGCCGACGGAGCCCGCGGCGCCCGAGACGACGAGGGTCTCGCCGGGTTGGAGCTGGCCGACGTCTTCGAGGCCCTAGGGGGCGGTAAGTGATAGAAGGGAGGGGAGGGGAGGGGGACGTACGAAGTAGGCGGTCATGCCGGACATGCCCAGGGGACCGAGAAAGTCGAGGAGCTCGGCGCCCTTGGGTAGCCTGTGCAGAGTTGGGCCATATCGTCACACGGAGAATCCTCAGACTCACTCGATCTTCTCCACGGCCTTGGCCTTCATAACCGCATACTCTGTCCATCCTACAGCCGCGCATCAAGCACCACGCGAAGGACACCATGCAACGGCACGTACCAAACGTCCCCCTGACCAGATCGCCCGCCCTGAACGCCGCGCCCTCGCCGGCCTGCACGACCGTGCCCAGCCCCGCGGCGCGCATGACCTCGCCGATCTGGACGGGCGGGACGTAGCTGCGCGCGTCGTTGAGCCAGCCGCGCATGGCGGGGTCGAGGGAGAGCCAGTGGACCTGGACGAGGAGCTCGCCGGCGTTCGGCGCCAGGCCTGCGAGGGGCAGGGATTCCGTGCGGAAGGTGGTGGGCGTGATGTCGCCGGCGCCGGGGCGCTCTTGGAGGACGATGCGCGTGTAGGCTGGGGGATGTGGTGAGCGGGGGAGAGGGGGGGGAGGGGGGACTTACTGCTCATGGTAGTGGTGGTTGGGGAAGAGGCGAATGGCCGGGTGTAGACGCCCTCCGGCTATGGCACTCGACATGCCAGCATCACGTGCAACCGCCCGACGGGTTACAGGGCCATTTCATTGCGCTGTAGGATATTATATTCACAAATACGGGTAGTAAACGAGTTGCAGCACATGATAGAGAACACTTCAGCGCCGACATCGAGCTCCTTTCATGAGCACCGCCACACTTTACCGCGCATGTGATTCTCTGCCCACCGCTGCCCGCCCATGTCCTCGTCCTGCCCGCCGTCACCGCCCGCGATGAGCACAAAGTCGCTGCTGCGCCTGTCGCGGCACACCGTCAAGCAGCTCCAGTTCATCGCGCCCGGGCTGCTCATCACGTACGCCTTCGACGTCCACGGCAAGCTCTGCGCGATCGTCGATCATCGCGCCGGCTGGGCGCGGACGGTATTCTCCTCCTGCTATTCGCTTGGGCGCGGACGCTGATGACGCGGGTGCTAGGACGCTCGCGCTGTCCTCGCTCGCGATGGGCGCGTTGACAGTCTGCCTCTTCCTCTACGTCCTCCTCGTCCCGTGGATCAGAGGGCTCCCGCCAGACGTACGCCGCCCCTTCCCAGTTCATACCATTCTCTTACCAATCCCCTACCGCGTCTAGTACCGCTCCTGGCGCCAATCCGGCGAACTCTCCAAGGTCATCCCAGTAAGTTGTTCCCGCCAAATGCCTCTGCAAATTCACATAGTGACCGTGCTGAACCGGGTAGATGCTCACAGCGTCGATCGTGACCGGCTGGTCCTCGCTGTCGTTTACGCTCGCCCGGTGGTCCGGGCTCGGATTTATGGAGGGCATCATAGGCGGTCAGTGCGGTCCTTTGGTTTGAGGGCTGGGCTCCGAACTGACTTCCCCGGCCCCTCTCCTGCACTCAACGCGTCCCCGACCCGCAGCCTCCGGCGTCTACGCACTCGCCTTTGGCCTCCTCGGCCTCCTCCCCGCCCCCCGCGTCCGCCGCAGATAGCCGCCCTCCGACGTCCCTCGCGCCTACCCCCGCTAATAACATAGACAGCCCTTGGGTACCTCGCCGAGCCCGCGCACGATTGGACAATTCCGCCTCTTATCTCTATAATATCGCACAAATGTACCACCCTCATAGGATCAGAGACAATGTCATGTATATATTGCTTGCAATTACCGATCCGCAGCCCGTGTAAGCTACCCGGGTCCCAGCGTCCGTGTGCCCTGCTCAACTTACAAATAAACAACCCGCGTCAAGAAGCGATGAGAAAAAGATGAGCTGAGAGAGGGAGAGAGATGAGGAGAGAGATGGAGCAAGATGGTACTACAACTACAATTCTAGCGATTAATACACAACCCGCTTGCGTACCGATACATTCCGTTCGTGCGATCGTCATGCGTTGCCGTGAAAGCGACGCCAATCTCGTGTGCTGGGGCGGTTAATACACCTTGGACGGCCAGTCGGGCATGTTCGCGACGGCGGCGTTGACCGCCTCGCGCACGCGCTGCCGGCTCGCCATGTCGCTCGACTGGCGGTAGCCCGTGAAGACCTCGCGCAGCTGGAACGCCGACGCCGCGATCGCGTCTTTAACCCGTAAGAATCAGCCCAGCCCCGCCGGCATTACACACCACCCACCGTAGTAGCTATCCGCCTCCTTCAACAGCTACCAACACCACACAACATCACCAAACCGGACTAGTCGATAACGGAAACCACTCACCCCCTGCAGCCTTGCCCTCTCCTGGTCGACGCCATACCACCCCTGCCCGCCGCCGCCAAGGACGCCAATGCGCCCCTGGAGCTCCCCGCGGCGCTCGGCCCACGCGTCCTTGAGCGCGTCGCACGCGCCCTCGAGCTGGCGCCACGCGTACGCGTCCCAGCCCTCCAGCGCGGGCTTGTTCTGGCGGATGTACTCGCGCGGGTGCGTCGCCTTCCACGAGGAGCCGGAGGACGAGCGCGCGTGCTGGGGTTGGGGCTGGGATTGTTGTGGTTGCGGGGCGTACGGGTCGAATTCGGCGGGGTACGAGGGCCCCTGGGGGGGTTGTGGCGCGTTGTTGTACCCCGGCTGGTACATCCCGTACGGGCTCGCGCCGGCGGGGTACCCGGTATATTGTGGCTGCTGCTGCTGGGGCAATCCGTACCCCAGCGCGTGCTGTTGCTGCTGCTGATACACGCCCGGATCGGGCGCGGGCGAGTACGCCATGCCCGTCATCTGCGGCTGCATGCCGTACCCCCAGCTCGGTTGCTGCTGCTGCTGGTGGTACGGCGCCGACACGTAGCCCGTCGTCGGCTGGGCCGCGAGCTGGTATGTCGGGTAGCCATTGACGGGGCCGGCGGGGGAGCCGGGCTGCTGCTGGGCGGCCCAGGAGGTGTACTGGCTCTGGGCGAGTTGTGGTGGCGAGCCGGCAGAGATGTCGGGGAAGCGGGCGTAGGCGCTGGAGGACTGGTCGATGAACGGGTTGTTCGTCATCGAGCGGGGCGGCGGTCGGGCGTTGAAGTTGGGGAATGGAACGAGGCGAGTTGTCGATGGAAGAGCGATCGCGAGCAGGCCATGCACGCCCGGCCACTGCTGCACCGCCACAGGCACTGGCCTTACGTACTCAGTTCCCTTTTGCAGCTATGTTTGACCCGAAATAGTAATGTCCACAGGTAGCTTTATCCTGTGTTCCTTGAATCCTTTTACAACATCTTCGTCGCCACAGACTTTGTACGGACGGCGCGGAACACGCTGGAGCCGCTATCAACACGTGTAGGCGCAAAGCAGCTCCCCGGCCGGGCGAAATGAACGCGTTATCCCTGGTCCTCCTCGCCTTCTCGGCGTGTCCCACGCACCCGCCCCTTCCATGCCCGTATTACTCTCCAGCACTACTCTCCGCTCAACATGTTTCTGTCTCTGCCCGTGACGCTGTTATCGCTCTTGTCGGCGCTGCTGCCGCCGACGTACGCCCAGCAGTGCCGGCTCGTCCGCCAGGACTTGGTGCCCTCGCCCGACAACCCTTTTCCGACGTCCGCTCCTGGCTCGGGGAATGTCACCACCGGCTCCGGCTCGGGTTCAGGCACGGGGACTGGGAACAGCAGCAGTACGAACGGGACCGCGACGCTGCAGCCCTTCAAGTACGGCCAGCAGCCTGTTCGGGGAGTTAACATGTGAGTGCTCTTGTTCTCTTCTATCGAATAGAGTCAGGGTGAGACGTTCTCCAGTGGTGGATGGCTTGTGTTAGAGGTGCGAGTATTGTCATCCTCGGTCAAACTGCAGACTTACCCCTTACAGCCCTGGATCACCCCGAGTTTCTTCAATGCTACGAACAACACCGACGTCGTGGACGAGTACACCCTCGGGCAACTCGTAGACCGCGACACCGCCCTGCAGATGCTCCAGAACCACTGGGAGACCTGGATAACCGAGCAAGACTTTAAAGACATCGCCGCCGCAGGGCTCAACCACGTCCGGTGCGTTCCCAGTCTATAACCATTCCATCCATCACGCTAATCCCTCCATGCCCCGCAGAATCCCCATCGGCTACTGGTCCGTCCCCATCACCCCCGCCGACACCAACTACACCACCTCCGTCGACCCCTACATCCCCGGTGCCTGGCCCTACCTCCTCAAAGCGCTCAACTGGGCCAAATCCGCGGGGCTGCACGTCGTGCTCGACCTGCACGGCGCGCCCGGCTCGCAGAACGGGTTCGACAACTCCGGGCAGCGCACCTCCACGCCCGTCTGGGGCGCGAACCCCGCCAACGTGAGCCGCACCCTTGACATCGTCACGTTCATGGTCAAGGAGGTCGGCGGGCTCGTGGACGTGATCGAGCTCCTGAACGAGCCGGCGGGGTTCCAGGGCGGGGGGTGGCCGGCCGCGATCAGGGGGTATTGGCAGGACGGGTACGATGCGGTGCGGAAGGCGGTCGGGAGTGGGATCAGGGTGATGATCGAGGACGCGTTTTTGGGGATCAATGTGAGTCGCGTGGGCTTTTGGGCGCTGGGTGGGTGTTGATGCTTGGGAAGCAATGGGAGGGGTTCTTGACGGCGCCCGACGCGCAGGGGGTGATCATGGACACGGTGAGCGGCCCGGGACGGCTCGTCCCCAGCGGGGCTGACCGTGCCCGCAGCACCAATACCAGGTATTCAACACGGACCAGCTCGGCTACTCGCCAGACGAGCACATCAACGTAAGCCCCCTTCCCCGTCTTCCCCTCTCCCCTTTAACCCTCTCGCCTTCCTACCCTCAGTTCACGTGCACCCTGAAATCGGGCTACTCCGCCTACGTGGACGACAACATCTGGATGGTGATGGGCGAGTGGACGACCGCGGTCACCGACTGCGCGACGTGGCTCAACGGGCGCGGCGTCGGCGCGCGCTGGGACGGGTCCATGGACGTCGGGCAGACGTTTGGGTCCTGTGCGGGGTACACGGGCGACCAGGGGGGGTGGTCGGATAGCTACAAGACATTTCTACGAAGGTGAGTGCGGTTGCCCGCATCGAGACCGCGGGACGGGCTGAATGTCGTGGTGGTGGCGGGTAGGTACTGGGAGGCGCAGGTGGCCGTGGCGGAGGCGGCGAGCGGGTGGATATACTGGTGCTGGAAGGTGCGTCCGCCCCTCTTCATACCCGGCGCTTCCTGCCGAGCTGAGACCCGGCTGCGCGCACAGACGGAAAGCGCGGACGACTGGAGCTACCAGAAGGGCCTCGAGGGCGGGTGGATCCCGCAGGACCCGTCGGATCGCCTTTACCCGGATATCTGCGGTTGAGGTGCATAGCAGACGGGCACTGGCAGGTACTTAAGTTATTATGATTACGAATATAGACGGGGTGTATATGGACGGCGCGAATATAGCTATGGCCACGATGATGCTGTACAGCGGATTCGGGCTGCGTGTATGATACGTATCCGGGAGGCGCTGGTCTGGCCCTTGCGTTGTGGCATTATTTTGCATGGCGAGTTACCTGGAGGTGAAGTCACCTTTGGCTGTCCGATCCGACAAGCCACCTGCGGAAAGTGTTGGGTGGCGATGGAAGAGGCACTTTCCTGCAGGGTAATTCGGCACAACCAAGTGTTGCTCAACTGAACATGATATTGGTGGTACCCTGTAGCGCCCGCGTTGGTTTTCTGCTGAGTATAAGCGGAAGAACGGCTACTTGGCCTCTAGCGGCTACTCTGTAATAGGAATACGCTGGCTGCAGAATCTGCACCTTTACCGAGTTTGCGCACGCTTTTCTGTCGACGGAGTTGGTCCAGCTGGACCTGTCGGAGAATTCGCGGAGTCTACACCGACAGAAACCACAAGAAATTGTCGTCCGCAATAGTCAGAGCTACAGGCTACAGCTACATATATATACCGTGGAACAACGCGCAAAAAGACATATAGGTGCAAAGGCACAGACAACCGCACAAGATATTCCCGCCGTCAGGATTCGGGGACCCACAAAGCCAAACATATCTGGACACAGGAATTCTTGTCCAGCATGCCGTCACACTGCACCTGCATGCATAGCCCACACGTGCAGGACACAGACGCTGTGCGTCCAGCGCGCATATAACCTTGCACCCACCACGGTACGTCGCGATCACAGCTGCTGCATCCGAGTCCGAGCCTGTAGATACCCCAGGTGAGCACGCGGGCGCGCTGACGAGACAGGACCGTGAAGCCGGGGAGCAGCGACCGACTTCGTTCTGTCGGTCACAGATGGCTCTCGCATAGCGCAATGGTCGGCAGTTGTGCTATGCGCGAGCCGGCTGTGTGCGGTCAGCATTCCTGTGCTATGGCGTGTCCGTGCTTATCGAGTTGACTCTTGAACAGGTCGTGATACCCCCCGTGATATCCAGAGAGACCCGATAGCGCGATGACTACGCAGGGCCGTAAGTCTGGTCAATCCGGTCGTTTTCCTGGTCGTTGACTCGAAGTTGCTTGCAGAGGGACGGCAGTTGCTCAATACCTATCTGCAAAAGAAGGGCATCCCAGACCGGCCTGATTATGAAGAGTCTGTGGTAGGGGAGCCCCACATACCGACATGGAGGGCAGTTGCGAAAAGTGAGCGAGTAGACGATTACATCGATGCCACGGACTCATGGACTGTCATCAGTGGGTACGATCATCTGTGGGACAGGAACGGGCAACAGCAAAGGTGCGGCGAGAGATGCAGCCGCCCTGAAGACCCTCCGCAACTTCGAAGCCGCAGAAGGCTCTTCGACCCAACCAGTCCATAGGGAGCTTCGCAGGTACCTTCAGTCCGCACTCATGAGCCAGAGTACCGCCACCGTCTCGGGTGTCCAGCTCTCCATGGGGCAGGCGACGTCGCGCTCGGGACCCGCCGCCGCGGTCAGCTACTCGCCCGTGATCCCGCGCCGAGCTTCGCCGCCTCCGATCGCCAGTCCCCCGCCGATCCCTGTGAGCCCTGAGTACGCGTCCCGACAGACATCTGTCGCGACGTCGATAGGTTCCGTGGACGACCGGACACCCTTGCTGTCTCGGCGGCCGCAGCAGCCGGATGTTGCCCCTCCCGCACCGCGCACACCACCACCACCACCAGACCCTTTGTCATCGCGTGGTCTGGAGATCGCAGCCCCGCAGACGCAGACGCCGAGTTCAAGTCCGAGTTCGTCGGGCACGCCGTCGCGCTCGTCCGTGCAGACGGATACATCGAGGCCGTCTCCGCCGCCGTCACCCCCTTCTTCTCCCGGCGGCCCCGTCCCAGTAGAGAAGTTTAATCTGACAGTCTTCCTTGACCCGGATCATCGTGAAACGATAGAGATCATCGAAGGCTGGGACGACGAAGAAATTTTGAAAAACTTGAAGAGTACGTACGACGAGATGCGAGGTTTGTGGCGGAGGAGATTGTCGGCGAAGCGGCTCAGGTGGGTGAGCTTTGGTCTTGCAGCCCCACGCCAGGTCTGACCATGGCATGTAACAGTGCGGTCTGGCTAGTGAAGGTGATCTTGTCCTACCGTTTTGTAATGTCAGTTTGTTGATATCCCACAGTATGCTCCCGCATATTGGTGCGAGAAGAGCACACACCATCCAGAACTGCCGGAGCCCTTTAACATCCCCGCGTACATGCGTACGCCCGACCGCGGGCGCGGGACGGACGGATTGCGACGCTACCTCGCGGCGATCTGCGGCGCGACGAATGAGCAGCTCGGAGTGAACCGCGAGGGTGCGGATTACAGGCTCGGCCTCAAGTTCGTCGAGAGCTGGCAGCTCCTGCCGATGCTCCTTGCCTGCTTGGTCGTGATGCTCTCGACGCTCGGATTTGCGATTGGGTATTATAAAGTGTATGGAGACGCGTCTACGGCGTTTACGATTGCTTGTGAGTGCTCGGGTTGGTTTTCTTCGTCCAGAATTGGGTGGCTCATGGCTTTGTCCAGCGTACATGGCTGCTCTTGTAGCCATGGTTCTGGCATTGGTCCAAGTCGTCATTTCTTTAGGGAGCTGAGTGCGCAGCGTGTCATGTCGCATCGCGTCGTCCCGTGTACCGCAGGTCTTGGGATTGTGTTTGATCGCGTTTCATAGACTGAATTGAACGATGCTGCTGTTGAGGATGTGGTAGTCGTATTGCGGGCTCGAACAGCATTCGGAGAAAGTCTTGCCCCCAATATCAACTGCATTCCAGTCCCTTCGTTTCAGTTTCCTCGAGTCAAGCTTCGGACTTTATATCGAGCTTATTGCCAATTGCACAGCCGCATGCACACGGAAATTGCGTGGCTGGTCGGCCTTATCAGATTAGATCGGCTTCCCGGCCGGGCCGCATGCTTTCGTACTCAGTCGTGTTGCGTGGTGGCTATGGCACGACTGCGTGTCCGTCGGCGTCAACGTGAATGGATCTACCTTCATGGCCCGTATAAATACGACGGCGGCGAGGCTCATAACATACAACAATGGCTCCTCAGACACTCCCCGTCCTCATCGTAAGCAGTATTCACCCGCATCAGTCACCTGTCTCTCCTCTGATTCCGCGCACAGGCTGGCGCAGGTCCCACCGGTCTTGTAGCTGCTCTGACCCTTCGCCAGAACGGCATACCTGTGCGCATCATCGATAAAGTTCCCGAGCCGCCGTTTGGTTCTCGAGGAGCAGGCATTCAGGTGAGGCTGCGAGGTCACATCCGTCTCCTATACGCATTGACAAAGGAACCTAGCCTCGGACGCTGGAGGTATACAAGCTGCTGGGCGTCCTTCCGGATATCTTGAAGCATGGTACCCCGACGCCTCCCTTCCATATCTACAACTATCCAGAGGGCAAAGAAATCATCAAGGAATTCTTCCTGAGCCCGCGAAGCTATCCCACTCCCGGGATGCCCTTTGTACGTCTTCATCTGCGTGGGGCTGAACCGCGACCTGATCCTCCTCCGTCAGTACAACCCCATGCTTCTCGGGCAAGACATAGCATGCGGTATTCTCCGCTCGCATCTGAGCAAGTACGACTGTCACGTCGAATTCGGCTCGGAATTACGTGCACTCGAGCAGCACGACGACCACGTTGTCGCGCACATCGTCCGCGCAGGAGGGCCAAACGGATCGGAGGAGACGTTCTCCGCCAGCTATGTCATCGGCTCGGACGGTGCAAGAGGTACGAGTCCCGCGGGCGCCTTGCTTCACGGACTGATCGAGATCCCTGTGATGCAGGCGCTGTGAGGAAGCTCCTAGGTTTGCAGTTCGATGGCGTGACCAGGGACGACGCGGGGATCATCCTTGGAGACTTACGAGCAACAAATCTCCCTCGTGATGCAAGTCCTTGCTTGTGCCGTCTTTGACTGGACTGACAGATCTCCACTTTAGTGTTGGGCCGGCTGGGGTCCGAACGGCAAACCGATGTAAGCACAGCTGCATATATCCTGGAGAATGCGCTGGACTTGAGGCGCGATCGCAGATTCTCGGTGTTGCCGCGTTACTCGCACGACGACGATACGTTCTGGGTCACGCTCATGGCGTTCGACAAGGATGTCGACTACGACAGACTGGTGCGGCATCCCGAAGAGTTCAAGGCAGTAGTGCAAAAGATCACAGGCCGCCCGGATATCGAGATCCTCGAGTTCCTGTCGTTGGCGTTTATCAGGTGAGACTTCGCTCCCTCACATTGAACGTACAGCTGCTTACCCTTCTACCGATACAGATTCAACATCCGCATGGTCAAAGAGTTCCAACGAGGCAGAGTTTTCGTCGCAGGAGGCGAGTCGAATTCCCCTGATGGTACTTTGGTCGCTGACGTCCTGGACAGATGCTGCACATGTCCACAGCCCCGCCGGAGGCCAAGGCTTGAACAGCAGCGTCATGGACGCGGTTCGTTCCCACCCTTCCCATTCCACATCCCTGCCTGACTAACCAATCCCCTTGCAGTTCAACCTCGCCTGGAAAATCAGCCTCGTGCACAAAGGTGCCGCGTCCCCTACCCTCTTCGCGTCCTACACAGCCGAGCGCGCGCCCGTGATCGAGAAGATGCTCAAGCTGTCCACAGAGACGCTCGACAAGACCGTCGGAAACGACGATGACGGCTGGAAGCGCGGGACGCGGTTCTACCAGCTGGACACGAACTACCGCGGGAGCCCGATCGCGCTCGAGGGGCGCGGCGAGGACGTCCCCGCGCCCCCGGCGAACATGTACACATTCGGCGACCTGGGGCGGGTGCGCGCGGGCGACCGCGCGCCCGATGCGCCGAATCTGCTCGACCTGAAGGACCCCGCGGCGGCGGGGCTGGCGCGCTTTTACGACCTGTTCACGCCCACGAAGCACACGGTCCTGATATTCTCGGATAGGGCAGCGGCCGCGGACGAGGTTGTGAGCGCGCTGGGCGGGTACCCCGCGGGCTTGGTGCAGTCGGTCGCGGTGCTGCCCGCGATGACGTCGGTGCGCGAGGGGCTGGTGCTCCCCAAGGCGGATTTTGTGGTCAAGGACACGGATCGGCATGCTTATGAGGGGTATTCTGCGGACCACACGAAGGCGGAGCCGACGGTGGCCGTCGTTCGGCCGGACAGTTTTGTAGGCGCGACCGGTAGGGGCGTGGCTACTGTGAAGGAGTACTTCAGTCGGATCTTTGCTTAGAGGACGGATGCGTATACCTGAACTTGGATAATCTGTATTAGTAGTCATGATAGTCAAGATAACTCAACTCACATTCATGGAAAAGGGACAGTGTGCGCATGTTGCTAGACACATCCCGCTGGCTAGCATTTATTTGGGACGGCGACTCTATTTAGTCATGGAAGTATCTGCGCAACCTGTGAGGCCTGATCGAGGAACGCAGTCATGACTTCGCCATTCAACAAAAGGTGCAGGCCAAAACGGTCTCCAGAGAGCTCTTCAACACTATGAAAGATGCCTACCGTGTATGAAGTAGGTGCATCGACGGAGGTTTACGTGTTCGGACGTGTGTCGGACAGCTTCAATGTCCGGCCCGAATTACCGGAGGCTTAAGCAGGGAAACAAATATCCATAAACACATCAGTGGCTGTCAGCGCGCACAGTACTTGAGGCTGCGGGGACCTCATTAATCAGGCGCACATCTAACACTACAATCGTCGAGGTCAATGCCGTCCGCAACGACCTCGAGCTTCCCTTCAGCTACGACCGAGAGAGACGCGGACACGATGTCCGACTCTGACTGGTTCGACATCGCGAGTGGCAGGGACTCCGAGGACGCCGACTCGGTCGCCTCGCGCAATCTGTCGCGACGCTCGTCCATCAGCCTCGCAGGCACCAGCGACAGCGCAGGACATGCTCTGATTGAGAGGTGGGAGGGTCTGATTGGCGAGCACGACAGCGAGGACGAGTCTCTCGTGGGAGAGGGCGAGCCACTTGGGAACCCCTTTACCGATATCGTCGCATCGCAGCCCCAGGAGGAGAACGACCACCCGCAAGGGGACGCCGCCGAAGAAGAAAGCGTCAAGGCTGCTTTGGAACAGAGTATGATTAGCACCCTGAGCTCCTCGCGGTCAAGCTCGCACTCCTTTGGGCGCGCAGACCTCAGACTCTCCTTCCCTGATCCTATTTTGTCCAACTCAGCTTTGCTTTCCAGAGCTGAACAACGCGATGACCTGGACAGGTCCTACGACCGAATATCACCCTCGCATTCTGATGTCCAGCTCGGCAAGCTGACGGAGAGCAGCCCGACTGATGCACCTATGACTCTGGACGACCTGGGTATCATCCCCACACCCAAGGTTGTCTCAGTTGTCTCGGCTTCATACGTCCCAGCTCCCGTAGAATTCGACCTTGACATTACTTTGTACGGCTGCTCCACGCGCGTGCAGCTGTCGTTCGTGGAATCTCTCCTCCGCAAGATCGACCCCGTGTCCCGGAGCCAGATGTGTTCCCCTGACACATGGATCCAAGTCCTGAAGAATGGCACTAAGCCTCGAGTTATTGCTATCAAGGATCGCACCCTTTCTGCGGGGCGAGATGCCGCAATGGTGGTATGTTGTACATTTCATCTGTCTCCGTACTCTAACTTCATCAGCGTTTCCAGCCGCGTCTCGAGTCGTCCTCCCACACTCCAGACCGGCCGGTCGCTTCGTTGGCTATCATATACTTACCCTCCTCGATCACCGGGGATTCCATTGCAGAGCATACGTACTACCTCCCCGTCTTAGTGCCACCGTCCTGCATCATCAACTCCTTCTCAGAGGAGATAGAGAGGCATGCTGCGAGGCATCGATGGGAGATGCTGGATATACCGGAGAGCAAGGTTCTGACCCTCACGCGGACCCAGAAACAGGAGATCATAGACGCTAATCAAGTGGATTCGTTGGACGCCGATGACGTCTGCAGTGCGTTCGAAGCGCTGTTCGCGGAGTCTGAGAGTCGTAGTGTGCAAGGACATGCTCCGCTGAAGGACTTGGGCACTAGAGTCAACGTCTTGACTGTGTAAGTTGCATTCACATCTAATATCTTGTGATACTCATGGAGAGACCACGCAGACTCACGTTGCTTCTCTCGGTCCTCTTGACCTACACCCTGAAGGACGTCCGTGCCTCCTTCCCTCCAGCCAGCGTGGTATCGCTGAACGGGTCTCGCACCATCGACAGTCCTAACCGATCCGTCTCCGTTCCTCAGCCCGTCGCCGTCCCGCTTGCGGACAACAACAGTGGCAAAGCCATGATCTCCTCGTCTATGAAGGATCTGGCCCTCGCCATCTTCGACACGGGGTCCGGATCTGGCTCTTCTTCCCCCGTGCCTTCGGGCTCCAAGCGCATGCCAGCTGCTGAGCGGGGAGCTAGAACGGGAAGGCATACGTGCTCAAGACCGAGCGCGCCCCTGGCGAAGCTTCCCGCAGCTGAGCTGATCCTTCGTCCGGACTACTCTGTACCGGCGTTGAACAACGCTGCCAGTGCGGCCGTCTCCAAGGCGCTCTCTGTCATTACCCCCGCTCATTCCACCCTCAAGGGCAAGGGTAAAGCCAAAGACGACGGGCGGGAGGATGTCACGGCCTTGAGCCTTCGCGTCATGGGCTCATTATCTGAATGGTTCGACGTACAGACTATCTTGAACGGCGTCAGACGGGATGTTAGCGACCTCGTGAACGCCTTGGAAGATCTGATGCACATGCTGGGCGGGATAGTCGAACAGGGCCGGAAGAGTCTCCTGACGTTCGTTGCTAGCTTAGAGCGTCCTACTGGGGAAGCGCCGGAGCAGTACGAAGCTCCTGTACCCGACGGGAGAGGTCTACGAGAGGCGCTTACCGAGAGGCATTCCAGAGCAAAGCAGAGGGCTAAGGAGATTAAGGAGGCCGGCTCGAGGTGGATGGCGGACGTGAAGCATAGGGCGGAAGACTGTGCCAAGGAGCGCGTCGTCGCTCTTGGGGGACCGGTCTCCGGCCATATTGAACGCCCCAAGCGCGCCTGCGACAGGAAGGGGGATCTCAGGGAGCTCTCGAGGGGCATACTGGATTATGTCCTCTGATGGCTCGCTTTGTATGTGGTATTGAGCGCCATTCGCTCCTGTATGTTTTATGTTCCATGCCATATCTGTATTTCCATCTCAAGTTCTGTAACAATATGTACCCGCGTATATGGACTTTCGGCTCTCTTCCGAGCCCTCCTGTCATTTATTTGATGTACTATCGTTGTAGAAGTTAGGATGTCTATTATCACCTTTCAAGCATTTATCCTCGCCTTGCGCGCTCGGCACTGCTCATGGTCGGGTGGCGGCATTAGTTCTCCTTCAGATGTGGCCCTCGAACGCAGAACACATTATGAAAAGATACTGTACGCAAATCATCCTCCTACTGGAATACGGATGAATTAGATATGGATTGATATTCGACTGGAGAGAGGACGACGAGACAAATTAAAACGACTTCATCTTCAAGCTACCGGTACCGGCTTGCGCGTTGCATAATGCTTGCTTGATTAGTTGGACCTCCAGAAAGGTCCATCCACCTCCCACCATGATTGACTTCAGAAAGTCGTCTTGATATGAAGCAGGCAACCTGACCAGCTGATGGAGAGCCTGTCCACTAGTCACGCCACCTTTGACCAGTCCGTTCAAGAACTTGCGGACTGGTAAGTCCGAGCACTTGAGGAACCACTTGATGGGGCCTAGAGGGTCATCCGGATCCGGCTTCATCTCATCATCAACTTCGTCCGTAAGGTCGATGGTGACCTTCTCTCCTTTCGAGACGGGTGCATTTCCTGTCTGTTAGCCAGGGAGTGCAGATGGGTTAGCGATGCGACTAGGCGAGAATAGCGACGGTGAATACTTACATGAGCACTGTTCTTGAGGAGCTGTGAAAGCTTCTATGGACGAACGTCATCAGTAAGGGCGTGTTCTCGTCGTTGATGAATACGAACACTTAGTGGAATGTCTTCCTCGTCGTCAAGCTCATCGAATTCCTCCGAATCCTCTTGTCTCCTTACTCTCTTGGATGGTGGAGCCGCTGCTGCGTCTTCCCCCAGAGCTTTGCGCTTGCGTTTACTGGCCTGCTTACGAGGCGATTTCGGCTGCGAGGCAGTCTTGACGGATGTTGTGGTCGGTGGAGCATCTGCTTTGCTCTGTGACGGCTGACTTCGTCCATTGGTAGAGGAGAGCTTACTCTAGAGCATAGGGGCGTCAGCGCAAAATAATACGGGTCAATGTGCTATGTGCGTACACGCTGTCTCTTCAGCCATGCTTTGGCTCCTTCCGACACATATTCTTCATCGCTCTCCACATTGTCGCGAGGCTTATAACCGTTGCTCATGGCTTTCCTGCAGGTCACAATGGTACACTCTACGGCATCGGCAATGGCTGGCGAAGTAAATCGGGGACGTAGGACGCGGCAAGTCGCTCGGTCATGCCTGTCGAGTTTGTTGCGTCTCGCAGTACCATCTGCTCTGGTCCCTGTTCCACGTTCCTTTCGAGGAGGGCAGAGCTCCGGCGGCACATGGTGACTCCGGGTCTTGGGTTTCGTGCGGGAGGAGACGGGAGTAGTGGGAATTCGAGGTAAAGCCGTCCACTGGGGAATCAACCATGTAAGTGCGCTTCCGACACATGACAGGACAGAGGGCACCTGCGACATAGTGTTGCGAAGCTGGCTAATGCTTAATTAAACGCGCTCGAGACGCATTAAATACGCGTAACGCGACGCGATTTTCGCACGGCACGAGCCGGAGCGGGGGTCTGTTAGGTTATCGTTCCTTTCTGACAAGACGTAAAACAGGGACTTTTGAGTGACTGACTTTTGATCCGCTTGTTTGAAGGTATGAAATGACCGCCAGTAGAAAGGGCAAGGATGGTCAATAGAGGATCTTGCTAATTCACGAGCCGCTGCTATCCGGTCGCAGGTCACTGGCACGCGGACAATTAAGAGAGAGGGGGGCCGAGGCATGTCATCTCCGATCCTCAAATGTTCCACTGATACACTTGCCGTGAACTGTCGTCGGGGACCTTGAGAAAAGCGCCCGCGCGCGTCAATGCGTCAACACCGGCTCCCTAGCAGTGGCAGGCTCCGTGAACCTGAATAACTCAGATCGCTTATCCCGATTTCAAAGCGAACTCACCGATCAGACTTCATTCGATCGCGACTTTGTCCGCTTGGCGGCGTCACTCTGGATGCGATAGACAGAACTTGGACAGAATCGCCTGCTCGAGTAATTATAATGAAACATTGTCGCGCTAGGAAGAGAGATATCAGCACCGGACTGTCGAAACGGGGCGCAAGAAAGACATGGGCAGAAGGGGATGCTAAGCTAATTTATAGCGATCGGGACTGGCATTGCCAGTTGAGACACAGAGCCAACTGTTCAAGAAATCTACTCTAAGTACTTGGACTTCGAAGAATTACCTCGTTGATTCGAAACATGAGACGAGCCCAGCCACCTTGAGAAACTCTGCTCTCCACTGACTTATCTTCCAACCAGCCCGGCGAATATGCTGCGATCATTATTATCCCGAAAACCAGACTGTCTCATGTCTTTATGGCCCTCACTTATACTCGTAACGATCGCACTTTACGACATCCAAGTTCTCGAGATAATGTGTCCCTTAGCACTTGTTCCACTTTGTCCGGGATGCTGATAATGCCCTGGATGGAAAAGCCCGCCACCAGCGCCTTGGATAATGGGATGCCACCACCGCTCTTGCATTTGGACAGCTAAGTCAGCTCTTGGTCTGTGTTTCACGGTACATAGCGGGCCGCATGCCGCAAGAAGCATTCGAATGCGCCTATATCAGATTATTCCTTGTCCTCCCAGACTGACATGCCACTTAGTACTAGGAACTTGAATGCAATGCGACATACCAGTACCACCATTTCCTAAGCGGAAATCCTCAGTTTCTATGGTCTTCAAGTTAGACAATGACTGAAAGGACAAATTACACGGGGTGAAGGTACCTGAACTGCAATAAAATATCTCGCTAGACTCGGCTAGCCGCTAGAGGTGTCGATTCAGTCGAGAGACGCGTTCGAGCGGGCTTTGAAACTGGGCTCGCGGAGCTATGAATCAACTTCATGGCCACACTAGTACTGCCACAAACGTTCACCTTAACATTCCCAATTATTGCTACGGGCCAGTGCATCGACATTGCTCCGAGTTCAATACTGAAGGGCACTGTGCCAAGTTGAAGGCGGTGCCAATCTAAAGCTGTTACTAGACTTCCAGAGTAGGAATCAAGCTGCTGTACGTTCGCAAACCGATGGATACTTGTGTGGATGGCAACTTCCTTGCGGAAGGTAAAGTTGGTCGAGAGTCATGAAGGGTACCCTCACCAAGCTCTGACCTGATGAAGGTATTCCTGTGATTATCAGCCGGATCAGATGGCCTGACCACTTTCCGCCGCAGATAGGTTCTAATTTCTTCAGTAAGACAACTCTAAGTGGCATTCCCACATATTGCGATGTTGGTTCCTGTCGAAGTAGCTTTGCGCTCACAGGCTGTCGCACTTTCACCGCAGTAGTCCGGGGGTATATATACACTGAACTGGACGCTATACCCCCCGTGAAGCGCCTCCTCATAGCCTGGTCGTCAAAAATGGACCTCACGCTTACACTTGGTGCACTCTATGATGGAGCGGTTGTATCAACTGTGTGAGCGCTGTGTTGCTATAAGCTCTGAGAGACTCACGAGACTTGCGTCCACAGTCTTTATGGCCTTACCTGCGGGCAGACGTACAGATACTTCAAGGCCTACCCTGATGACAAGATTACTCTGAGGATCATGGTCCGCCCTTACTATGTGTCATTAAAAACCTGCCCTGAATGCCAATCGTGTCAAAGGTCTTTCTGACATTCCTGGTACCGTATTCTTCTTGTTACAGCTCCCGACGCTCAGTCATTTCTCTCCGCAGCTCGACACATTCGAACGATTACTCCTAGGCCACGCTTTATGGTTCTATCTTATTCGGAAATGCGATGGGCATTCACCTTCGGATACTACTCCCATCTGGTACGTATGCACATATTCCTCCGTTTTGTGCAAAGTCTGAACTGCCACAGGAGCTATTATGTAGGTTTTCAGTACCTTAAACGCATGTTCCCGCTTACATTACGATTTTTGAAGGGTGTCATAATTCCTGCGGTACTCTTACAATTGTACCGCACGGCTCGTGCTTAACAGACCTCCCTTTCAGCAGCTCTCCATCTTCATCGTCCAATGGTAAGCTGAGACTATCACACTGCTGCGATTGCTCTGATACATCTTCTGATATAGTTTCTACATAAGAAGAATATGGTCACGTATGCATCAGAACCTTCTATCTTTTAATCTCTCTCTCTGATGTCAGTTATTCTAGTCGGACAGAGAAAACTCACATTGCTCCTCGTGAGTTTGACTGTTGTTCTACGGCGACTCAGTGGCCGAACAGCAGTTCCTTTCAGGTCCTCGGAGCAATTATGGAACTCCGTGAGACCACAGATCTGTCGTCATAAATACTACTGAACCTACATCATCTTCAGTGGCGGGCATTGGTGAGTAGAGTCAATACCCAATGTATGTGTAACACTGTCGATGCCAATTATCCAGGATTTATTGTGACTGCGTAAGGAAAATCCAGTCCGAAGGTTGACAGAAAGCTTACATACAAGACTACATGAAGCTACATGACAAATGGTCTGTATCTGGATTCTTATCATACGACGACGTTGGCGGCACATAACGTACGTTCGAGCTTGGAACCGTCTACTCCCATCATACATAGAATCACATATTCCTTAGGTCATTCTGTACATCGGTGCCTGTTCTACCCTCCTAACGGATATTGGTATAACTTTCAGTATGTGCTCGCTTCTCTACCAAGTGCGGAGATCATCGCTCGAAACATCAAGGTAAGATGTTTCACGTCCAATGATATGCTCATAGAAATGCGCTGTCTCTTAGATCCGTGCTCGATACTCTATTTAACTATGCAATGACCACGGGGCTGCTGGTGACGTGAGACTATCTACTATACTACCGCAACTCCACTGGATGACCGAACATCGTGCCTTTCAGAATTTTCACGGCAGTCTTGATGATCGTAGTAAGTTCCCTTGTTCTGAGCGGAAGGCAGTAGCTTATAGGACAATAATCGACAGTCTAGTGCCCTCCCGAATACTTTGCTATTTGACGGACTATACCTTTCGGCCGGAAAACGTGAGTCCGGCCATGCCTCTGGACTGGACTTTCTATCTCAACAGTTTTCTTTGGACAGTATATATCAATTCCATGCTAGCTGCGTGGGTCTATTGAGCTACTTCTTGAGCAATGACCAGATTTGACCTCCACAACAGACTCAATAGCCGTCAATCACTGCGAGCACGCCTCGGGGACATTGTTCAAGAGATCCCACTCCAATCAAACGACATTGTTCAAGAGAGCCCACTACAATCAAACCGCACTAGTCCCCAAGACAGGGGGCCCCGATCGCGTAAGGCTCCTCAGCAAGGACGCGCACGTGGAAAACAATTGTTCGCAAACTGAACCGGCCGCAGCATCAGTGTGCGAACTCATGAGATTTGAGGCGGACGTTGGCGTCGCCAAGTACTCAGGTAGCTCTGACGACTCATTAGCCTGGAATCCAGTCGGATGCTTTTCTTTCCTGAGGCATAACGGATCGCTTCTGTCAACGGGGCGCCGGTGTTGGAGAGATGTCGGATACTTGTCGGCCTCATTCGCTGCTTCTACACCATCAGAGACGTCCAACTTTTCCCATTCGAACACGTTACAAATAAAATACATTCTTTACCCAAGCAAGCGTCCTACGACGAGACTCGTACATTTCCGTAAAACGCGTGTCTCCCTCGTGTCTTCTCCCCCCCCCCCCCCTGTCCATCTGAAGTATCTAGCACAATCGTTCAGCTCCAGATCGACATTCAGGACCCTTTAAACGTAGGAGACGGTAACAGAGCTACCGCTGGTCGAGGCAGAGGTCAAGACCTTGCCATTTTGCTCAATGTCGATGAGGGTGGCACCGGACGGGCCGATGGAACCAGAGCCGGTAGTTGCCGATGCACTCGAGAAGGTGACCGTGCCGAAGTTAGCCAAAGGGACGAGGCTGCCGTTCTCCTCGTAATCCTCGACTATCCACTCTGCGTTCTCCTCGCAAAGGGCAGAGGACGAGGTGAGCGACTTTGACACCGTCTGACCGGTGGACAGGTTCTCGATCACGGCTGTGCCGGACGTGGTACTCGAGGCAGTGACGGTCACGCGGATCTGGTTACCGGCGCTGATGGAAATGCCGGAGAAATCATAGGCGTAGTCGGGGTACCATTCATACCAAGCTATTGAACGCAAGCATATTAGATTTCCGCGGAACCTTGGATTCCGGAGTGACCCACCATCGTAGGAAGTACGACCATTGCTGACAGTGAAGTCAACACCGGTTTGCAGGATGGCGGTACCGCAGGTGTCACCGTCAATACCAACCCAGGCGGAGGAGGAGTAAGTTCCCGAGCCACCACTGGGTGCCTTGGGGGTAGGGACGGTGAAGGTACCGGTAACGGATTTGAAGCTGCCCTGGAGATTATCATCACGAGTGAGGACGACTTCTGTGCGATAATGATCTTTTGCAAACTGACCGAAGGGTACGTGTCGTAGACGGCACCAGCCCAGTTGGAGCTGTACTCAACATGGGAGGTGTTGCTAGCGAGTGCCTCGGGGCTGGCAACGCGCTGCAAGGGACGCGTGAGGTGAGAGCCTGCAGCCCGACGAGCAAGCCGGTCGGAGAGACCAGAGGGCCGAGCGAGTGCGCTGGTGGCCAAGAGCGCGTAGCTGAGGAGAGTGAGGGCGAACATGGTCACTAATACGCAGGCGAGGGGCTCTGACGACTCGAAGGTAGGCTAGCGGAACCGAGAGGTACCTGGCTAGAACAGGCTGGTTGAGTGAGGCTTTTATAGGGTCAGGCAAGGTGCGTACCAGCGTGCCGGAGGTATGCATGACTTCATGCTTGCATACGTCGTGTTCCATCTTCGCACTGGAGATGAGAGCTTGCTTCGGACATGAATCAAAGCTGCTTAGCAGACCGTAGGGGGATGATAGCTATTATTAGTCTCCAATAAGGTTTTAGATCTCTTATGCCTGCATGGTCGCTTGGTTCTCGTCTTCGAAGAAGTGGAGAGAATCCCAACAGCCCACACGCTGGCGTCAACACCGGGTACCCTGAGAGGAAGATAAGAACGCATGAATACCTCATGATCCGTATGGAGAGAACGTCGTGGGGAAATCTTGCATCCCGGAAACATCAGCTGAACTGAGCCTCAACGCAGGCGACGCATTCAACTTGAAGTTGTTCGACGTTGTGAACATGCATTGTGTTACTTATTCATATCATGAAGTGTTGATTCGTAAACCTGTATAACCGTTCAGTTATTATCTACATAGAAACTGTAGCACTGCACCGGAATCACCACAGCAACTATCTGTGCGGACAGATCACGACAGGTCTTGCATAGTAGGCGGTTATTTGGATCCGAAGCCAATGCGGCCGAACCCGGCTCCAATGGCATCATTTGGCAATCGTCGCAATTGTGCACGAATCTGCTGTCTGTTCTGCGGCCTGAGCGCTGAGCACCGCGATTCCCTCGTCTTTCGGCCCCGCGCTGAGCTGCCATATGGATTGGAATATTCGGGAACTGGGAATGGGGTCAGAGAGTTCAAGTGGGGGACTGAGACTGTCACTTAAACAGTGTTTATCTCAGCATCTGCGATGATGGACTCCCTGAACCCATGTCTGTCTGCGATATCATAACGGCGGCCGGCAGAGTTCCATATGGACTGCATGGATCCGCTCGTTTCTGGATGCTCGGATTCCAGTGTTGAGCAAGTCTGCAAACACTGTGGGATCCTACGAAGCCCCCGCGTTGACATTGTTCGCATGTTGCGCTCGAAATGACGTGCCCTTGGTCCCCAGGCCTTTTGTGCAAGCATGAAGGTCATACTAGTACAGTACCGATTTGCACACTTTCCTGGCTCCGTCGATGAGCTCAAGGGATGCGTTTGTGGTAATAGATGCCGGAAATGAACTGTACACGGCAGGTGAGTTACCCAGAATCGAAGGGCGGGCGAGTGGACGCTCTGAACCGGAGCGTTCATGTCTGTTCCATGCCATTCCCAATACGCACATCTTTCCTTTCCGAGGGAGCATCTCGATGACGCTGCTGATCCTGACCATCTATCAGAGCTGTGCGTGTCGTAACTCGAACACTTCCATTCCTCTCACGTTGCAGGCGCTTTATTGGATCCTTCAGGACCGGAGAGATCAAACGGTATGTATAGGCCTGTCGAGGGCCGCGTGACATCCGAGTTTATCGTACCGTATTGTTTTCACCGAGATCAGCCACAAAGCCTGTACCATCAGCGCCCGAGAATCATTGCTCGTGGTTTTATGGCATTAAGAAAGAGACCAGATGGTACATACAAAGCCATGCGTACGCCCCCGCTTCTTTTCTTATCGTTTCCTCGAAAATGACAGAGGACTTCCCGCATTTTACTACCCTTCCAGAGATGTACTAGAACCTCGCATTAAGCCCGGGTCCGACGGTCGGGAAGGTCGTCGATCTTGACCGATTACCGTATGGTCGATGGTCACCTCTGTGGCGCATGTCTACCGCTGTCTTTGAGATAACAATCTACTTGAAGTCCTACCTCCTCCATAGATTTGTCCTTTCCTGTCTTCTATGCATGATCCGTCCTTTTCCGGACATCCTCGGAAACCCAGCGTAGTCTATGCGTACGTATGCCCATCTCAGTCAGTTGGATATTGGAATATTGACTGGCCACTTTAGAGAACCAATGCCGAAGGCTAACTGTGCGAAACGGTTGCCACTGCTTCGAACAGGTCCCTTACGGCAAAGCTGTTGTCATTGGACTCGCCCGAGATAATTTCGTACTTGGTGACACACGACTCAAGCAGTGATCGATCCGGTATGAGACCGATGTCGACGATTCATCGGGTTCTTCCTGGTCCCTTCTGCTCAGTAGTAAGTCCATGCTGCGAGAAGGTGGCTGGATACAAAGCCCAGACCATTCCCATTTTCCGCAAGTCATGCTCCCACTCGCAACTTAGTCGGAGAACTTAGCTTTGCTCTTGTTTCATGATACAGTCTCTAGACCAGTCGAAGATCCGCTTTTCACGAAACTTTTCTGGGAGCTGCGGTCCCGAGGATTCTTGACCCTTCCAGAGGAACTGTAGCTCGTGCTCGAGCTTGCATAAGCGGATCATGGTGTGAACATCTTTTTCCCATATTCCACATGATCACCCATTCATTCAGCTCACGCGTCTCAGGGAACGTCATTTTCCTCCAGGCTTTGTCTCATCTGTAGTCGGAATGGAAGACTAACATGACTTTCCGTGTGCCAAGTATGTACTAATGTGTGATCTTCAGGCTTGCTGGGAATTGTGCAAAATGGCAGCGCGAGAAGAACGGTACGACAACTCCGCCCCTCTAGGTTGTGCTCGTCTAGACGCCGGGAACTTGGACTTCAGACCCTCTGAGTCCAGCAAGTTCGCTTGGGTGAGTGGACCGGCCCATAATTGGTGTTCCCGTAGAACGCTACCTTCCTGCAGTACCAGTACGCAAAGCAGAGCCTTTCACGAGATATTTCTGCACTCACAGAATGTAGCGACTGCGACACAGAGCTCCTTGAGAATCAATCGGCTCATGCAGCAAGTCCGAAGCGCTGAATATGAGCAACCACAGTATGTCCAAGACTTAGCTTGCGAGTGGATGGTGAAGATAGGTTGCGACATGACTTCCCCTTGCTTTTCGAAACCGATATGCTACGTTGGTTTTGATCATCCTCCATGAGATAGCCTTGGCGATATTCGGTTATGATACTAATAGCTAGGGCGAGATATGGGTGTACTGGCAGTGATTCTGTTGTCACGAGATGCGTCCAAGTGGCACAAGTTGCAGGCGTTGACTAGAAATCACGGTGCAGAGATATCAGCAGTTAACATTATGCATCTTGCCGGTTGTCTCAGCGTCCCTTGGCTCTCAGCAGACCTCTCCATCCTCGAATCGTCAGACGTAGTCAGACCTGCGAGTTCGGCGGGCTGTATCTCTGAATCTGCCGTAGCGAGACACCACGTGCACCAATTCTACGAGCGGAGACCATCCACGACGTGAAGATAATCCAGAAATTGTCAGTCGAAGAGCCTGAGGATGAGCAGCCCATGCAGCCCATTCTTGGTTGATTTCACCTAGGCCTCAGGCTGCAGTATTGAGTCAACTTGATATTCAACATCATATCTGGGATGATATCATTGATATACTGTAGGTACTTCAGGGTTAGGGTTTCCGCTCCCGCCACATGTCATGCAAATGATGAACGAGGACAGCAGCCTTACCAGGGAGGTTGGAATATCTTGCCTTATATGCAGTACCCTCTATTCCTATGCGATAGACGCGACAGGGACGGATCTCATAGTGGAAGTTGCCTATTTGTGTTGCCGCAACACCTGTAAGTATAACCTTCACAATATCCATTCCAACCACAACTTCCTCAAATCCACAATCCAAAGGAAGGCGACTCGGACTGACTCGGAGAGCACATCAGATCTTACGCCAAAACGACGGGCCTGGGGATCGAACCCAGAATCTCCAGCTAAGGTCACGGATGAACCGGAAACTGGCGCGTTAACCATTACGCTAGTCCGCCGACATCGGATTAAGCTTTCAATGTGATAACAGGTCACTCGTCTCATTTCCAGCCTCGCGACTATGAAGTACTGTACCATTTCGATCAATTCGGCAGGCGGTGTGACATGTGACACGTTTTATGGATTCGTCTCGGTTTGTCGATTCGTCAAGTTGCTATATATGGTGCGAAGTGGGGCCGCAGGCAAGCTCCGGATACCTGATATGGAAGGTCCCACGGTTGGAGAGGACCTGTGACCCGTGACGCGCGCCAAATTTCGTCTTCGGCAGCTACCCCTGTGACCTGTGACTGCCGAATAGATCGAAATCATACAGTACCCTCCCCACCGAGAACGTCCAGGCGACTGGGAGGTTCGCCCGCCGAACGCGTTCGCGAACGTGTTCGGCGAATGTCTGGGCACGTGAGGGGATGCCACGCCACCTGAGCCTAGGGAATCGCCGCAACTGTTATTGAGCGAGAAAGGCAATGGCGGCTATGCTTTCAATCCATAAAATACAGTTTGTTATGCACATATTATTGTACCATACCAGGGATATTGATGATGTGAATAGAGTAATTTCCCTGAATTTCAAGTTGTCCATCACATTTCCAATGCAATGCCAGTAGTATTGACCATGGAAACTGTTAGGGGGAGGGCACGGAAGGGGCTTCAATGGGTTCGTGTGACCCCAATTGGACAGACAGCTTCGATTACTCACCACATTTTTTTACAATTACCCAGCAATCTCAATCTCACAGACCGATTACAATAAACTTACAAGTTAAAACCATCAGGCTATGCAGATTTTATCATAAGCAGGAGGGGTACGCGTCTGTGGCCGGTGGACAGAGCCACAGAATCGACACGCGCCCACGTGCACCGTGGTGTGGTTCTCACGTTCGCATTTGCAGTTCGCGAACGCGTTCGGCGGTGTGACCTCCCAGTGGGGTCGACTTTCTGTCCCCACCCATAATGTAAGGTTAAGGCTATCACAGGAAAGAGACACGTCCACTCTATATATATTTGCCTGATGACCTACGTAACAAGAACAAGATCGATGCGAGAAAGGTGAAAGCAGCCTTTTCTTTTTTAGAGAACCAAGGGCATGAAACGGACAGGCAACAAATGCGCTCGAGCCTGAGGAAGAAAGAGCGAACGACGAGACGCCGTTCTTTACCAGAATCGCTGACGAGGCTATCCCCTGGCTGACTGCCAATTATACCGTCAACGTCGGCTGCATCCTGTAGTCAGCGACGTGCCTCTTCTCCAGAAGCAGCAGCATGTCAGTACTCGTA